CATGCATGCGCATATATATATATATGCACATACATATACACATATACACACACACAGATATATAAATATGAGTAAATCAGTATATATATATATATAAATATATATACACATACATATACATATGTGCATATATATATATATATCTATATGTATATACCTTGCAGATCCTTATGGACATCTCTGCCCCCAGCAGGTCGCTCTGTCACCCAATGCCGACTTCCTGGCAACGGCTTGCGAGGATGGGTGACGTGGAAGCAAGAGGATGCGACGCTTTAGGGTTTAGGGTTTTGGGGTTTGAGGTTTAGGTTGTTAGGGTTTAGGTTTTAGGTTTTAGGGTTTAGGGTTTAGGGTTTAAGGTTTTGGGGTTTGAAATTAAATTTCGTAACGGGCTTGGACTGTATTGGGCTTAAAGACTTATCTCAGGTTGTACCGAGCTGTAATGACAAAAGGGGGTCTTATTCGGTGTTCTGTAAGAGTGTCATCACGGTTGAGATTGGGTCTTTAGGTTCAGCTTACCAGGAACGCAACACACGACCTAACACGCACGCCTCTGTAGCTCAGTAGAAATTGGAATAGGTTTGCTGAGCCCACCCTAAACCCTAAACCCTAAACCCTAAACTCTAAACCCTGTTCCCTGATTGATAACGGAAGGTCAAGGCACATTGTTCGGATTCCCCCAATTCGTAGTGTAACATAGGAACTTGATTAAGAATCCCTGGGCCTTTATTGGGGTTCTTAATATGAACCCTAATATATTTGGGGCTGTAGGGCCAGGGTTTCTTAATCCGGTTCCTACATTAACATACTGTCTTTCTGGGGTTGTTGCAAGGCCTTTAAGGAAGGATCTCAGCTTGGGTTTTGAATGTTTTGGAATTTGTGGAGTCCCTGAAGACCCTACCCAGGGTTTAGGAACCCTAAACAGGGTTAAGGGTTTAGGGCTTAGTTGTAAGACCTATCCAATTTCACAAAGTAAGCTCTGTAACAATCGAAGCCCCCACATCACAACATCAGAAGACCCTAAGTGTGTCCACCTGGTTTTCGAAATCCAAAGCCCGGCATGAAGACTAAACCCTAAACCCTACACCCAAACCCTCAGCCCTAAACCCTAAACAGCCCTAAACCTGAAGCCTTAAACCCTCAGCCCCCCTAAACCCTAAACCCTAAACCCCTAAACCCTATTCTAAACCCTAAACCCTAAACCCCTAAACCCTAAACCCCTAAACCCTAAACCCTAAACCCTAAACCTTAAGCCTTAAACCCTCAGCCCCAAACCCCCAAAGGCAGGCGCGGCTCTTCGACGGCCTCGGCCAGCTCCTGCGGGTCTTCGCCGGGCAGGGCAGCTGTGTTGAGGCGCGGGGAGAGACCCTTCCTAGGGTTTTAGGGTTTGGGGTTTAGGGTTTAGGGTTTAGGGTTTAGGGTTTAGGGGTTTAGGGGTTTAGGGGTTTAGGGGTTTAGGGTTCAGGGTTTAGGGTTTAAGGGGATGTTGGGTGGGTTGTTTAGTATAGGGGCCTTAACAAATTACCTGCACTCTTTTGGGGGTTTCCTTATTATACTTATAGTATAATGGTCCCAAAACCCTATTCTAGTCATTAAGGCCCCTACATTCGGGTTTAGGGTTCTGGGTCTTCTGACAGCAGCCGTAAGCTCTGAGTCCAAATCCCCGAATCCGAACATCGTGATGTAGGGGCCCCAATAATTAGAATAGGGTTCTGGGCCCATTATACCATAATTATAACAAGGAACTCCCAAAATAGTATAGGTTATTATTTCGGCCCCTATATTACTACCGATTCCCCAAGCCATGGCGTTTTGAGCGCAAACCCCAAACCCACAACCCGAAGCCCCAAGCCCAAAACACACAGCCAGAAACCCCAAACCTCCAATCCCAGGCCCTGTAGCACCCTAAACCCTACAGCAAATCCCAGAAAGTTGGAACATGGCTTTAGGAGGATTAGTGCTAGGATCCCTTATACTTTACCTTAAGGGCATGAAGATAAGCATGTTCCAACTTTCTGGTTTCTACTATAAACCTAAAACGCTATTGACACGTAAAGCTTGAAAGCTCTAAACCCTAAACCCGAAACGCTAAGACCTAGAACCTTAAGCTCTAAAACCTTGAAGGCCTAAACCCCCACAGACCGAAGCCCTAAGCCCGAGAGAGGTGATACTCGACCAAGATGCGCCAGGTTCTAAGTTACCCGTTGGGTTTTTCATGGGAATTTCTGGGCTTCGTAGAAGTTTATCGGCTTTGCATAGGAGCTTCTGGGTTTCGTATAAGTTTATGGGCTTGTCACCGGAATTTCTGGATTTCGTGCAAGCTTATGGGCCTCTAATCGGAATTTATGGGTTTCGTACAAGTTTATGGGCTGTTGATGGGAGCTGATAGGCTTCCTTCATGGAAGCACTTCCGAGCACTCTTGTACGAAGTTTAAAAGGATTCACGGCCGAGGCGGATGCTGGTGGCCACAGCGGGAAACTGCATGCACATCTGGAGCCAGTTAGCTGCAAGGGATTGAGACATCTGAAAGTCCCGACCCAAAATTATGGGGGGCCTTCATATTATGATTTAGGGTAAATTCCTTAATTAAGAGGTATTGGGCTTTCTGGAGAAGGAGGGCCTCATGGGGATTCAATAAGGTTTTCGAGGAGGTTTGAGGCTTAGAATTAACAGCGCAGTTGCCAGAAATTTGTTAGCTTCTGACGGGCAGAAGCCCTGCCTCGTGAGGGTTTTGGACCCTGTACTGGAAGGACTTGAATGTTCTATATACATTTTTACGGGTGTCATAAGGGCTGAAAGGGTTTAAAAGCTCTTATCAGGGTTGTATATGGTTCTAGACGTTTTTGTTGGAGGGTTTTAAAGGCGTTTCATAAGAGTTTTGAAAAGAGTTTTGACAAGGGACTTGTACGGGATTTAAAGGGGTGAATATTCATGAGACTTAGTGAGTTGCACTTAGAGTTAGAGTGCTTGGTAGGCTCCAATGGAGATACTTCCATCCCTGCTTATAACCTACTTGCTGAGTGTCATGATGTGCAATAAATTCTTTTTGTACAGAGCAGCCAAACGCCAAAACCCCCAAACTCCCCGGACCCTAAACCTGTACAGCCCTGGATCCTAAACCTTAAATCATTATGCAACCCCTAAACCCTAAACCCTAAACCCTAAACCCTTCATTGACTTTGAAGGGAACCTGAACACGGCTTAGGGTTTAGGGTTTAGGGTGAACTTTAGCATAGAAAAATCTCGAGAACCCAATACCCCTTAAATAAGGAATAGACCTTAAATCATAACATGGAGGCCCTAATGTTTCTCGGTATACTGCGGTAGGACGAAAGTTCGTCGCACTCTGTATATCGCTTTTGAACAGGACACAAACCCCTTCTCCCCGTAGACTCCTCCACGCGGGCCTCCGTCCGGAGCATTATAGTAGTATAAGTTTATTCCCGTGGATGAATTCCTCGCTAGCCAGGCCACGTAAAATGCACTTCCAAGTACTCCGCGTCCTCCACAAGATGGTCTAGCCAAGTGCGACGAAACTTAATCCTGGTGATGCTCACGGTCTGTCTCTGCAGACCCGTCCTGCGCCATATATGTAGAAACATGCACAATATATATATATATATATAGAAATATATGTATATATATATATATATACACACACACATACAAACGTGCGCAATTGGCCCGACTACCGGTCCCCAAATTCACGCTGCTCACGGAAAAGCAATTGCCTCTAAAGAATGTGTCTTTGCAGACCCGTCCTGCGCCATATATGTAGAAACACAATATGTATGTATATATATATATACATATACAGACGTGCGTTCACAAACTGCAATTTGCCCGACTACCGGTCCCCAAATTCACGCTGCTCACGGGAAGGCAGTTGCCTCTAAAAAATCTGTCTCTGCAGACCCGTCTTGCGCCGTATATGTAGAAACACACAGAATGTATATATATATATATATATATGTATGCTGGCCCCCCCCATGATCTACCGTTGGTGGTCTGGGTAGTGGGGCAGTTTGCAGGAAGGGTTAATTTTCCGGAGCCTGTTCGTGCGATTTCTCTACAGCGGAGCCGTTATCTAACCATATTGGGTGCAAAATACAGCCATAAAAGTATTTGGAAAAATTGAGCTGTAAGGAAAGTATTGGTAAAACCAATAGCGGCACTAAAAGGCTGAATTTCATAGTGGGCCACGTGCACTCGTTTCCAAATACTTTTATGCCAGAATTTCGCGCAAAAAAAGCCCGGAAAATCGCTTTTTGCAAAAAAAAATCCTAGGCCGACAATGTTAAAAAACGCAGAAAAACGCTTCTTTTGGGGCCCCGATCACCAAGGAAATTGCTCGAAAGGACTCCCCCATCTACAAGTGGTCGCCGGTGTTGGTGGAAAAATCTCTCCGCAACCTGGCTCAGGATGGCGTCCTTTCGCAGGTCCATGAGGTGTGGCCCCTCACACTATATGACCTGGACATCCGCATTCTTCGTGCTTTGGAACCTCTCATCCCTACTTTGGTGGAAAAGGCCGTTGGATTCCATAGGCTTCCTGGTGCGGGTAAAACTCCCGTGGCGAGGACACTCGCCATGGCCATCTCCCGTTACTGGATCCACAAAGCCAAAAAGGACGGAGAGATCCGATCTTCGTTTCGGCAAGCTTGCGAGTTCGATTTTTTTTCGCGGACAAGCAGGCGCCCTTATGCGTCCGGACATCTTTGACGCTGGCACCCTTTCGGATCAACCATTTCGCAAGGTGAAAGCCTTTACGGACAAAGGGCAATATTGAGTCAATGTCCAAAGAAAGGCAGGAAGTTCATTCTGATGTCCTAGATGCAATTAGTTTAAAACATGAAACTATTAGCAGTTGTCTATGCTCTCTTGCTGTGCAGGTGGGGTGCTGCTAAAAACAAGCCCGTGAATCCGAGTCCGACCATGGGCAGTAAGGCCGGCCTCTGTAGGGTTTACGGCTGAGGTGTTTTTGGATGGTGATGGCGTTCTCAGGCTGAAGCATTTCCAGCTCCCGAATTTTTTTAGCAGGCTTCGTGCTTTCAAAGCAGTTTCTACCGGCGGTGGCGCGGAGGGCTTGAGGTTTTCAGGAAGGGATCCACTGTGTTGAGGTGTTGGGCCTGTGATGAGGATGGCCTGTGAGGGTTGAGGAAGTTTAGACTTCCTGGTTTTCGTGCAGCCTGGTTACAGCAACAATCACGGATCCATTTCTTGAATCACCCTTTGATGTTTCTTGCCCGAAGCACTTGAACCTTAACGCTAAGCCCTAGGTATTCTCATGGATTCAGAGGCGCGGCTCTTCGGCTTGAACCATATGCCTCCAAAGAGACTGCCGGATTCCAAACCTTCCCTTCCACTTTACGGAGCAGGTGCCAGAGGGTGCTGCGGGCAGCAGTATCCAAGTGCCCCACCTTAGCGCCAAAGGTGACCTGGACCACAGTCGTAAAGCAACAACGTTGCGGGCGTGAAGCGGGTAGGTAGGTAAACCGCTGAGTTTTGTTTCAGAGAGTTCGAAGTTCTGCGTTTGGGATTCGGATTTTGGCCAATGTTGTGTTGGCACTTACGCAAACATTCCTGGACTAGTTGACATAAGTTCCCTTGAAGAAGCTTTGGGATGTTGTTCTTTGGTCCGACACTTGAGAGCAAGGGTTCAGGTTCAGAGTTCAACGTTCGTCTTCGGCCTAAACCCCTGAACCCTAAACCGTAACGTGCTGGCACCCGTCTCTCTACCCACGATTTACAGTCAATCGTGTCGTTTGCCAAGCCATGTCGGGCCGGAAACATCTCAGATGTTAAACTGTTAAACATCTAACTTGGGCATGTCCTTGTTGGCTTGTACACTAATTGAATCCTTCTAACCCTTGAATCCCACAGACCCCAGAATCCTGACCCCTGTCATGAAGTTTCAAGCCCAAACCCTCAAAGACTACAGCTGCGGCCACCAAGGTGGTCTTCTCCGCAATGCCGACAGCAAACCCATGGATTTGGGTCCGACCATTTGCATTAAGGCCAGGCTCTGTAAGGGTTAGGGCTGAGGTGTTTTGGGAGTGCTCAGGCGTAAGCGTTTCGATGTCAAAAACAGAAAATATAGCAGACGTTCATTCAACACAGAACGAACAAAATAAACGAAACGCCCATTGTTTTCCATCAATACAGCAGGAACAGGTGGTCACACCCTAAACCCTAAAGTCGCTCTCGTGGGGTCGAGCATTTCATTGCACTATGAGGCCTGTAAAACCTGAAGAGTCTCCGATGGAGTCATCCACAGCAGAAGCCTAAACCCCTAAACCCTTAACCCTAAAGCC